CGTTGCCACGTTATTTCCTCTCATCGGGAGTAGAAAGCAGGTCTAGGACCCGCGCCCATTGGATTAGTAGCCGGAAACTCTACCCCTTCGGTTACCGGTGATGGCTACTATTCCAATGGTAGCGGGTTCGAAACCCGCTAACTCTACCTGACGAGATGAAATAACATCGGAATGCCTCGTGCCTGTGCTGTGTTTTCTGGCGGTGTGCAGTGTTTTTGGCGGCCAACGCACAATTTCCATCAACAACCATGTACGTTGCGAGGCAACTGAGTCATAAACATGAAGCTTTCTTTATCTTCCGTTACTTTGCATTTTAAGAAATAGTTGATTCAATATAATCTTCGGTTGTATGTTTCAGTTAGGATGACCAACCGCAGCTGTATGTTGCCAGACATTTCGCTCTCCAGCCTGGTATTTACCTCTTAAGTTTTATCTATTTAAGTACGTTTCAGGATTCTGGGCTGTAAAGAATAAAAGTGAATCAGAACGTAAAGTCATTTGCTAATTTACTTTTCCATCCCTGCAACTCACATGACAGTTAGACCAACCACCAATCCGGAACTGGACTAGACGACCGTTTCGCCCATTAACACTCGTCATTAGCGAGTATTTCTATGTTTCCTTTAGAAACCGAACCCATGATCGCTAATATGCAGCTTCAATTGCTAGCAGATCCTGCCACTGCGCTATGGGGATGGTAGCAGACCGCTATAACTTGCTACGACTGCACAGAACAGTGGCTGCCCCAAGAGCTTACGACTTCCACAACACAACAGCTAATTACGCATAACATTTTAAAGCTATGAAGACAACATGGAAAGGCACGCCGATTTCATGAGCCTCCCATTTCACAAATGCGTGGCATGTACACGAATGCCCAAAGCCTCCTCAGCAAAGTCGCCGAGCTTCGGTTGCTCCAGGCAACAAACGCTTGAGATCTTATCTCCACAAACGAGACTTGGTTACACTCAGAGGTTACGGATGCCGGGAGCGCGATTCATCATTTGTCCTTGCTCCTACACGATTGTCCCAGCAGAGGAAGTGACGATATCCCATGCTGTCGTAACGACTTACAATGCGAACCACTGGATGATCCGGAGAAGCGGGTCACCGATTCGTTATGGTGCCGTATGAATCTCAGACACAACGACCAGTGCTTCATGGCAGTCGTATATCGTTCCCCATCGTCCACTCCAGAGATGGCTTCCCGCCTAATATCATCGCTGACGAAATGCTTACTCCCAACTTACAGACATGTGCTTATCTCCGGCGATTTCAGCGTGCACGACTTGAAAAGCTCGGCATCCCCCAGTGAAACATAGAAGGACGAACTGCAAGACCTTATCGCAAGTATCCGCTCTACAATCATATCAGCTCACCTACCAGGTACAGAATTGATAACCAACCATGGATACTTGACCTCGTCCTTACGAATGAGAAACTCATGATCGACAGGCCATTTATAGACACCCCACTGAGATTAAGCCATCATGTTACCATACTTTATAACTATGTGTGTTAGGCTGAATATCCTGAGGAATACATAGAACTAACATGTACTATCACACATTACAACATCTTGAACAAACTGGTTGAGATGACCAATTGGAAGTTCTTGAAGGTTGGCTCACTCGATAGCCCCTGGATTCAGTTTGTTGGACACTTCAGCAATCTAATCGCAACTGCTTCGGAAACAAAGTGGGTTCGCTCCACCATTCCCTCCACTTTCATGAGAAGTAGAACTCACAAGCGCATGTCAATAAGGCAAGCAGCTTGGCACACATACAGAGCTCGTCCTTGTCCCAAAGCCTGGAGCGATTACGTGAATCAGTGCAACCATCGTAATATGCTTGTCTGTGAGGACAAATTGACTCACCAACAACATTTGAGCCGTTAGTTTGTCGACAACATAAAGCTCCTATACAAGCTTGTTAACACCATCCGGAAAGTGAAGCTCGTACCCCCCAATTAACACGCCAGTCGGAGTAGCATAGAGTGACGAAGAGGCAGCCAACGTCCTACGAATACAGTTTCACTGATTACAGAAGAGTAGTAGGGGGAGTTGAATGGTATAGGTAGAATTTCGTCACATCTAGGCTCACTCAGACAGCCGCCACAATCCCGGAAAAGCACTGTACGCGCGTTTCATCTTTTCGGGAATCATCAGCAGTGCGCATTCCATCGGACCCTTGGTAGGGCTCGAAACCGCAACTCGACTGTTGCCAGTCCGTGGTTGAGACCACTGAGCTACGGGGGACGGCAACGACCATCGTGAATAAGTTACTAGATGTGATATAGCGCCGCTCACTATCCACTGACTTACACGTTACTGCCGTGCAGAGGACAGGGTAGCCCCCTCACCAAGCGACGAGCTTAACAAACTTAAGCCGCCAATTATCTTATGGCATTATAAGCAGTTTGTTCTGTGTACTGATTACAGAAGAGTAGTAGAATACAGTTTCCCCAACTTTCCAAAGAAACGTCCGCCAGTGTTACATACCCACATCCCTAGCCTCAACTTCAAGAATCACTAACATGGATTTTACTGCCACAGTTACTTTGAGGAGACTGGTCTCATTACGCACCTACAGCTCTCAGGGAAACGAGTATACTCCCCATAGAGCGCTGTACGTAACAGCAAAAACGCTCACCTGGCAATTATCACATTTCTTCCAAACGTGCTTGGATAAACATATTGTGCCTACCATGTGGAAACATGGTGTAATTAATTCAATTTTCAAAAGCGGTACTCGCTCCGAACCCGCCAACTATCGCCCAGTGGTCCTATTCCTTATGCTCTCAAAGGTGATAGAGGCAATCATTGCTGAGGCTCTAGTAAACCATTTAGAGCGCCACCACATCATAGCGCATGAGCAACACGGTTGCCGCCAGCACCGTTCATACACTACCAACCAACTGATTGCACGCAGTAGTTGGACGGAAGTGGCCGATGCAGGCAGAGGGACGGATATCATTTACCTCGACTTTCCCAAAGCCTTGGACCGACTGGAGAACCGCATTCTGCTTCACAGGCTCGAAAGTTATGAAGCTGGTGATCGTGTCCTTGGGTGGATCAGACATTTCCTTCAGGATCGGCAGCTGCAAATCAGAGTTCGACGTGCGCTGTCCGGTCCGATTTATGTCGAATGTGGAATTCCTTAAGTATCAGTTCTGAGGTCGTGTTTGTTTCTCGTGTTCATTAAGGAGTTTATGCGTTCGATTATTTTAGATTTCTTGCTGTTCGCTGATGACAGTAAGATGTGGTGGACGATCGCCGACCCAGCAGATCACGATGCACTTCAGCGAGACCTGGACAGAGCGTATGGGTGGTCACTCCACAATCTGCTCCAGTTCAATTCGGGGAAGTGTAAGGTGGTTCACATTCGCCACCAGCCGAACATCACATACAAGCTTGGAGATCATGTCCTGCAAGCAGTCACCCAGGAGCGCGACCTTGGGGTACTAGTTCAGGCTGATCTGGGCTGCTCAGAACAATCTGAGAAGGCGTCAAAGACCGGGAACCAACACGTTGGCATGCTGCGGAGGGCATTTGGGCGGTTTGATCCCTCTGTCTGTTCGCAGTTGCTTAACACCTACGTGCGGCCTCATGTGGAATACGCGATCCAGGTGTGGCAGCCCTGGCACAAACAAGACCTTGCAGCGCTCGAGACTCCACAGCGACGAGCCACGAAGCACGTCAAAGGGTTGTTCAATCTTCCTTATCAACTTAGACTGAGGACCCTAAAATTATACAGTGGCCGGTACCGGCGCCTACGTGGCGACCTTAGGATGGCCTGCTAGATTCTAAGGATCCCCAACCACGTCTGCCGTCACCTACTACAACTGAGCCAAAACCCGAATTTGGGGGGTCAGCAGTTCAAGTTAGCCACGCAATACAGTCGACTAGAATGCCCACGGAAGTTTTACTCTCTTCGTGTGTGTCAGCCTTGGAAAGTTCTCCTAAATTACGTTGTTTCCGCCCTTAGTTTTCATGTGTTTTAAAACGTCTTGATGTGTGCCTCGGTAGACGATATAATGCGAGGTAACTTGCACAACCAGAATTAAACTAAACAACTGTGGTTGGTTCTTTCTCCGTGCATCTGTGTTTACACTGTGTTGAGTCCACCAAAACGATTTTCCTTTTATCCCTTTGGTTTCTATTCACCATGTTTTGGTTCACTTTTTGGCCACCCTACGGGACTTGTTAAGCATCCACTTTTTCGCCTGTAATATACCATCGTTCCATTGACTCAGCTCATTGTCCTTATTAGGTTAGTTAATCTTTTTTATACGTACTGATAAGTACTGGTATTAGATGTTCAAATGACTTGGTTCTTATGTAAAAATAGCTTATCATCATTCGTACCGCCTGCGCTATTAGGTACAAAAATTCTCAAGGAATCTGGAAATACGTGACTGCCGCGTAGCGTGGTTTACTCCTTAGCTACAATTGTTCATACGAATAAACTCGTAGATTGTGTAAAACTGATCCCTACTATTTGTGCGTGAGCTGTCGTTAAATAGAGTGATAGAATCTGTCTAGAGATCACCGGTTTAGAGAAGTGACAAACAAAACATCGTAGCATTGTTGTTCCGCGAATGACTCTTTTGTACATTACGAGGTCGCCTTCACTAAGAACGAAGTCAACGAGCCGACCTAGTCATTCCAATGATTCCGGTAAAGAAGACAAGTCAACAATTGATAAAGTTAAATTAGTGCAGCCAAAGTCAACAAATAATCGGAGCTGCACAAAATGGGAGCTAATCCCGTTGCTTCCAATGACCGAGCTTTTTGATATGCTTCACATCGTTATTCTGCTTAACAGTGTACATCCATCTATGAAATCCAAATAGATGCTCTCAGTGTCTAATCGTATGCTTCTTTGTTGTTTATTTGTTTATTAGTGCTACATTAGTACAAATAGCTTAGAGCCACACGTTGAGGAGTCAGTTCGAAGGGTATACAAGCCATACGTCTTGGTTATTTCGTTGTTTTCCAGAACACAGAAAGCAGTCAACACAAGGCTTAACAATACAGCAAGCAAAAGAAGAGGAAGCTAAGCCGGATGTTGGAATAGATGAAGAACAGACTGTGGACTCCAGTGGTAAGAACCATTTCTCCTGATGTGAGAAAGTCAAAATTTTACGGCGAATTTTAGTAGACTGCTTTTCCATATCACGCATGCCTTCTGCATGAAGGTCTTCCTCCCTACTGCTAGACTCAAGTAAGATCATGAAGAAAAAGCAGGACCACTGAAGCATTGCTGGACGATGTTAAGTAATGGTAGGGTTCAAACTAAGTACATTTACATTTGAGGTAGTGTAATATTTTGTTTGTTTTGAGTGTTTATCCGATTATGAATTAAAGCAGAATGAACATCAATAGACAAATAACAATGATTTTATACGGGTTAAGAGGCACTGCTTTAGAAGCCCGTTGGGTAGTCTGCTGGGTTAGCGAAAAACGTTAGTGAAAGCAGCAGTTAGTAGTTTTACTGTTAAAATAATGGGTTTATAGTTTTTGAATCAGTAGCCCCGCACCCCGAGCGTTTCTAGAGCTTCAATGGGCGGAAAAAGTAACTCCAAGGCACTTCGTGGGAGTAGTATGGAGAGTAGCGTCAAGCGACAAAATGTAAGTAGCGGAGTGCGCAATCTAACCGACTTTAAGTATGGCTAGGGTGGGTGCTATAACAACAGATTCGGCGAGAGCATTTCATGGTTGACACGCACGAATATAAAAAAGTTTCTACTGCACGCCAGGCGGCTGCACTGTTCTATTACTTTCAAGGAGTGGTCTCACTGCTGAATTGCAGTGAATAGCGACACAGATGATTTGGATTGTGTAAAAGCAAATGCGCCATAATCAACTTGACTCGTAATCGGCGATACCGCCCGCTAAATTCACCCAAAGGTTTCAGCCTCTGCTCGTACGGAAGGTGGCACATTCCAATGACGTAATTAGAAGCCCGACGTGGAGGTTGGTTCAGTACAGTAAGGTCGTGTTTCAGCCATGGTTGCCAGGCTTGGATTGCGTATTTGACTTGGGGACGAACATACGCGTTCACCATCTGTCTGAAAATAGTGGTGTCTAGTTGTCCGAACGCCCGTCATAACAAGCCAAGGTACTGGTTACCAGTTTTCCATGTCTTTGCGGATAGCTTGGAACCACCAAAGTTATCCTGAACAAGGACACTAAGGTCGCATTCGACGCATAACCGCTGCAGTACTTTCGTTCCTAGCTTGTAGGAATAGGTACTTTCGTGTCAAATGGAGAGCATCTTGCATTTGTCCACGTTGAACTGTAACAGATTTCCGGATGACCAATCCTGTATCGTATCTAGGTCACATTGAAGTAAATTCTGATCGACATTCACCTGAATCCCGCGCCATAACTTTATATTGTCAGCAAACAGCAGGAAATTTGGAGCGATATTCCGTGCAAGATCATTGATCATGGGAACAGTATCATTTGCTTTATCTTCTCCATTTTGAATAGAATAAGTGTCTGTGTTTTGAGCCCCACAAAATACAGCGGGTTGGATGTCTATTCAAACACGCAAATTAAGGTCGTTTATTGTGGGACATGTTTACCGTTGGGTAAACGATGTTGACTACTTGACCATGGTAAATGACCTTTCGAAAAGAATAAAATGCGGTAGCGCTGTCTCACGAGATTATAGTTTAATACAGTGTATGGTCAAAGAAACTAGGCAAGTGAGGTAACAAATCTGTTTCCCTCCATGAGTAATAATTGGCCATACAGAAATCCACAGTTAATATCTCTAGTTGAATTATCTCCAAAAAGTCGCCTGACTTTCATAAACGCTGAGTTTGTGCGGCTGATTCAAGAGTTGCGAGAAAGACGTCTCAGACTAAATAAGTTGCAATGAGTGCGCAGCTGATGGTGCAATTGATTTGATAAATCCGTCGCAAGTGTTATGGAGGTTTTAAGTTGCCAGAAACCACTTAACTTATATTAGGTAAAGCAGCCAAATGGAAGACGTTACTGACTAATGTCAACATTGGTAAACAGGACAAATCGGTGACAATTCATCCACTATGATGCGCGGTCGTCCAGTATAGAACGTCTGATAACACTAAAAAACCCAGAGAACCATGGAAAGTTCAGTTGTAAATAGAAACCCAAACAATTGAGTGATGGTATAATAGGGTTAAAAAAGCAAGATATAACAAGTTCCGTGGGATGGTGTGTGTGAAGTACACAAATTCGAAAAAGTAACAGCGAAGCAGAACGCGCACCTGTAGACTCCGTACTATCCACCTTGCACACAAACGAATCTGTCTACCCCGATTTACTGGGGCTGGTGAACGCAATATCTGCTTGCGCCTTGACCTCACCCAATGAATGGGAGCCAGATCATATAGTGTGAATGTTGCGATGTACGGTCCAGTCCTCGTTTGAAAATAGAGAACGTGGGGGCAAAACTTACTACACTCGGAAGAGCACTTCACAGTGGCATTTTAGCTGGCTGCAATGGGGGCCGATGTCGACTTGCGGCTAAATTTCTGTAGGTTGTGTAAGACGTGACTATGGGTTTCTAATAGCTGATGTGACAAAACTGCTTCTGTAGACACTTAGAACTTTCAGTGGCAGCAGATATGGCAGTTGAAGCATGCCCTTCACAATTTTTGTAGGCTTTCGCTGTAGGCAGATCGACTTTTAACCAGGGCTGCCAGGTCTGAGTTGCGCCAGTGCACATGAGGCTTCACATACGTATAAAGCAATTGCGGAAGACTGTGAGGATGAACGGTTCGAACGCCCCCATATGAGACCAACAATTTAGTTCTCTGCTTCAGACGCCTTCAGAGGTTCTTACGAACAGCCAACGTTATGTCGCACCACTCCAATATCAAGCTCCTGTGAGGCGGTCTCTCGGTCTACACATGCTTTTAGCATTCTGGCGTGCATGCGTCAGATTACGCTTATTCACGTTAAATGTAAGTATATTAATAAAACACAAGGTTGCGAAGAGCACTCTTTTCGATAAATCTCATCAGGCGTTTATGATTATAAAATGAAAAGTTGAAGCAGGATAGACTGGTGAAGCGCGATAAGGATTAGCGAATCAGAGCAAGGCAGAAAGTGAGCTGTCTTAATCGATACATTGGTCGATCCACTCAAGCAGCGGCTACCACAGGATACGTAGGCAGACATAGGTACACACACACACACACACACGTATGCTCACGAGACATAGGATGTGTCAAGAACATCAGTCTGAGGCAAACAATTGTTTTCAATGATTCATCAACTGGCCGGTACAATCATATAAGGTTAAATTACAAAGGGATGGATAGTGATTGGTTCGGGGGTTTGTTCTGAACTGACCGGGTCAATGGTTAGACAGCCGCTGTCTCATACACACAGATCGATTGAGCGTTACGTAATCACAAGATCTGACCCGATGTCGGGGTGACGGCTAGGCTGATGGTTGTTCGGTCAGGGCAGGTATAGAGAAAGAACAAACTTTTCTGCGAGCACAGCTGGGGTTGGAATATGCGGATCGCAATGGCCTCTGCAGTGGCGAGCATCCTTAACCGCGTACCTTTCGATTTGCTCATTGGAACCTGATAAATCACAGTAGAAGCATTCGGGAGGTTAACCTGATGACCAGATTCGAACAGATGAGACAAGATACCGCTTGTAAGTACTCCGGTGCCCCCGTTCAACAACCATTTAGGGCTATGTTCCCTAATGCTGCGGAGTTACGATGCATCTTCGCCAAGAATCAGCTAATTCCTGTGTGCAACAAGGAGAGACTGCCGAAGTTGACCTCTTCTTACGTTATCTACCGATTTGAGTGCGCTTGTGGGGCAACATACATTGGTCGGACGGCTCGTCAACTGTCACGTCACATTAGGGAACATAGCCCTAAATGGTTGTTGAACGGGGGCACCGGAGTACTTACAAACGGTATCTTGTCTCATCTGTTCGAATCTGGTCACCAGGTTAACCTCCCGAATGCTTCTACTGTGATTTATCAGGTTCCAATGAGCAAATCGAAAGGTACGCGGTTAAGGATGCTCGCCACTGCAGAGGCCATTGCGATCCGCATATTCCAACCCCAGCTGTGCTCGCAGAAAAGTTTGTTCTATCTCTATACCTGCCCTGACCGAACAACCATCAGCCTAGCCGTCACCCCGACATCGGGTCAGGCCTTGTGATTACGTAACCCTCAATCGATCTGTGTCATTCGCTGTCTAACCATTGACCGAGTCAGTTCAGAACAAATCCCCGAACCAATCACTATCCATCCCTTTGTAAGTTAACCTTATATGATTGTACCGGCCAGTCGATGAATCATTGAAAACAATTGTTTGCCTCAGACTGATGTTCTTGATGAATCACTGAGAATGTTCCATTTGTTAAAACATAGGATGTGCTTTTCAACTGATTGGGTGACGCACTCATTACCCGGTGGTTGTCAGCGTGTGGAGTGGAAGCTGTTTGGAAGTGTGTTAGCCCCAGGGCAGGAAGAGCGCTTGAATAAGCGCCCTCTGTTTGCATAGTTCAGGTGGTGTAAGTCTGATCGCAATGGCTTCGGCCGTCCGTAACATTCGTTTCCTCAGCCCCTTGGGGTAGCGTTTTGGTACAACCTAATACACATTGAAGGCATCAGTAGTCTTGATTTGATGTCCACTTTCGACCAGAAGTTCTAGAATAGTACTCTTGATGCAATGTGGGCTACCACCCTTGAAAATTGGGGTGATTATGCCCTGCTTCCACATGTTGGGGACCTGCTGTTCATCCAGTTATCCTTGGAAAATTCAAGCTAATGGCTCGGCTATACTTGTAGTTTCCTGCTGAAGTGCTTTCGAGAGAATGTTGTCAACACCGGGGGAACTATGGGTGCACAACGAAATCAGCTTTCTAAAAATGGTCGCTGAACTAAAAATGACGTGTGTGAATATTGGCGTCTGGGGGATGGGACCGGTATGTGATATATGCTGGTGGCACATCGAAATAATGAGACATATTGCAGCCGTAGAACGTTGGCTGCATCCTCGGTAGTTTGAGTGCATTCATTTGTTGAGGTAAGTGGGAGAATACCACGCTTCACTTCCTGCAGGCTGTTCATATGTCTGTACAGCAGCTCGTTATGAGCACAAAACCTTTTTGCTAGGCTCTGCTGGTGTACTAATTTGTCCTCACGTACAAGTGTGGCACAGTGATTATGATGCGTGCTACAACAGCTCCAGTTGCCAGGGTTAGATTCCGCTCTATATACATGCTACACTGCGTCTCTTAACGCCATGTGTTTTCTGGTTCTGCTCCTAATGGTTGATGGTGTCCTTGTAGAACGAATGGGTCTATTTAAAGTCGATTTAATCAAATAGCTAAACTTGTCAGCAAACTCCGTGCATGCCGTATCAATGGAGCAATTGTCCTAAAAATCCCAGTTGGGATGGCCAACAAGTTCTGTGAGTGTGCTGTAGTGTGTGATTGTTCGAAACAAGTCACTATTTTCTTGCATCTGAGCCGCATAACACACATAATCGTAAAATGTTGCTACTTGTGCACTCCGTCCCAGAGGGCACTCCATCTTTGGATTCACAATCATGAGCTTTTCGCTTGTCGGCACTTAATCAAGCACCGATGGGTTATTTCCCGTTCTGAATCTGGTGGGCGAACTGACATGGCTAAGGAGCGGATTGTTTACGATAAACTCTTGCAGGGCTGCCCTGAATTGTTCGTTCGGCGAAACCGAGACTTCCAAATCATGTGAGTCGGGGGACGTGTGTTCGGGTGTGGTGTTCCACCAACAGATGAAAAGTCGACCACTAATCGGTTTTGGGTGGGATGATGGTAGAAATAATTAGTGTTATATCCAGCCTTTGCCTCATTTTCTCCCTGCTGTTCTCTTTATGTGCAACGTATAGGTTGTGGCTCTCTAGATGAGCAGCGTTATCTGGACCCTTGTCGGGACGTGGTACGATTAAATTGCGCATAACATGTGTTTGCTTAGGGGACACTGCTTTGATTGGATGCTCAGAATGTAGTCTGCTGTGATGCACATAGAAGCACTCCAATGCCCTTATTGACATCTGTTTGAATTGTTGACGACTATACAATCCTCATTTTTACATCCTTTGTAACTTGATGATTTTTGTAGCCCCGAGGTCGATGGATTCACGAGGTTTACCGAAAACGGGGACTCACAAATGTACCGCTGTTGCTCCAGTGCACACGTGGCCAGTTCGTGTCTCTCATGTTTCTTAGCCACAGAAACTGAGTGTGCAAGTATGCTCTTTGATACAGATCCCTTCCTATATTCTTCAAAGTCGTGTTTAGACTGTTTACGCTAGCCCTAATAAATATCTGGGAAAATTCGGACGGAATGGAACACAATCCGAAGGCGAGATGCCGAGAGTAGAATTACTTTTAATTCATGGGCGAAAGTCAGCACAACTCGATTCGCCTTGGTGTTTAGAGTTAAGCTGATCCGCATCATGTTGGCTGGGTTAGCTATAATACCTACGACGTCACAAGTGTAGTTCCTTTGGTTCGCATCGTCGAGTTGCTTTGCTTTTAACGTATTTGACATCGATTCAAAATATTCATACAGGTTACTATCGGCACACCACATAGTTTCATTATGACAATTTGGGCAACAAGGGTTGTAAGCGGTAAATTTGCCAAGCAATTCGCAAGCTGGATGACGCGAGCTAACTCTGGATTCCCACCAACTATTTGTGTATTCACCATATGCCCCATGGTTACTTGCCCCCCAGACCTAAGAATAATACCATCCACAAGATGAATAACATGATCTAATCCTTAACTCCTATCATCTATCCGCTCACCTAGATGGTGTGCCATGGTTACATGCTAACCGACATGATTACTATGTATTTAACAAGCCGCATGTCGGGATCTCAGCCTGGATGATCAAAGCAGACGGCTATCCCAATTGCTGAGCGCCGGCTTACCGAGTATCCCCCATGTGAACTCATATCGATGTTGTCAATACTTCACTTCATCTCCCACTGTGAAAACCGTCCGCTCACACTGGGTAATCTGTCCAGACCACCCTCCACACACTCCTCAGACTTGAATCATCCTCCCCCCCAGGGGTACGCACTTCCATGCTCCTCCCACCCCCCTGCTCGACTGAGCGAAGACCAGCCCATCACGTTCCCTTTCATACGTTGTATAACGAACCAATGAGTCAAGGGTTAACGGACCTAATAAAAGTAAGGTCATAGTATTATTGTGGACTCGGTATCGTGTAACTCTTTATGTACGGTGGCAAGTACTAGTTGCATTCCTTTTGGACATTGTGAAGGCCGGTTGTTTCGGAACTGATCGGGTATTTTCGAGGTAATCAAGCAAGGTATTTTAATTACTATTTGCATAGTAACGTAGTTAATGTCTCGACTTCCTTTCTTTGTTCGACCCGGGAGTTTTTATGTGTCACTCGAGCCCCCTAGCGAATTTTTCGCTTACATGAGTTGAAACCGACTACCACGATGGTTCATACGCAATCGGTTGAGCTGTGTATGTACATGTCCATTTCTGTTCTGCATTTAGTATCCTGCGAGTGGGACTGGAGACTTAAATTTTCAGGTATCGTTGACAACAACCACGTTCAAAACAATACTGGTGTGATCTCCATTCTGACCTTTCGGAACAATTTGGAGGGTGCGTGAGGCCCTGTTCATAATTTTGGTAATAAGCCAAGGTGATTGGTTCAGGTGTGTCAAGTTCACTGTGATTTGACACACTGACCAAATTTTGATGCTACATTTGATGCTATTTTAACAAGCTTTCAAGCTAATTTCTCTGGTCCTGGAGCAGAGCGTTTAGGAGAAGACTGCAGCCTACTCTGTATGGTGCTTTTGTTGGGTAGCACTATGGTTGCTAGTCGGTAGCAATAACGCGTAAATGAATTTCCAAATATAGGACGGTAGAAAGGATGGAAGCAGCTGGACCCAGCCTATATTGTATAGGCTAGATGGCATTGGAAGCCAATCAGCTAGTGCAAGGAAGGAGTAGCAAGTGACTCACCAGAGCAATTTGTGTGAACGAATGTACAGCCAGTAAAATAAATGGGCATTGAGAAGATTCAAACAACAGTACAAGCAAATGTTGTGAAATACTGAAAGAATATGTATTTAGGTGCATTACCTTATCTGGTAGTAAAAAGACTTAGAATTCTCATTTCACTCAATGGTTGCTATCGGCCTTTCGCTGTTTTGAGCTAGTTCATGCAAAATCTTAACCAGCTGGACGACAATACTCACTGCACAAAACCATGGAGAGTCTGGTTGGCTAATGTACAGCTTCACCTCATTTAATGGGAGATTGGTGCACCTATTCTGGAAATGGCTGGGCAGTTGGAACGTTGAACATTAATTTGCAAATTTTCTGGAATGAAGTTTTCTCACAGTCTCCATTAATTTTAGCAGGATTAGGCACGGCACCGGGCAGCTGTTGTTCGGTGCCTCTCATGTTAACTACTGAGTGCTTGACTGCAAACCAAGGTCGGTGCTCTTGACTATTGGCGTCTCCTGCACTCTGAATTTAGTGTGCATGCTGTCTGTGGGTTCGTAGCACCTCGAGATGCGTCACAGAGCCTTGTGGGACAGGGCAATCAACTATATCCTTCTAGCAGAAGTCGCTTTCATGTGGAAAAATCTACTCAGGCAATAAAAGACACAAAATGTCCTATATAATCTTGGCGGCCCACAGCATTGTTTGATGGAACGTTACGTCGGTCTCAGATTTGACTTTCTTTAGAGAACGCAAACGTTTTTAATTTTCGTAAAATTTGGAAAATTGCACCCGTTTTTAATGGGGTGGCAAAGCTGCGACAAGTTAAATCAAAAGGATGGGGTGCATTAAATAGCTCTTGTTAAGCTGGATGGAACGAAAGCAGGCAAATATGTAGGGTGCGAAAGGAGAGTAGATCCGAGCGAAGTAGGAGACCAGAGAGAGTGCGACGGCACATAAAAGGACATGCTCACTTCGAATAGTGTTCGGTACACTGAAGCCAATTAAGTGTGGTATCAAGTCTAATGAGAGTTGGCAATTAAAATGAAAGGATCGGGTCAGGTAGCCGAGCCAAGTAATCAATCTGATGCAAGTCACGCGAGGTATAGCGACCCATGAAATATTTCCTCCGATTGTTTGGTAACGTATAGCGGCATTTCAGTCGGTTATCTGATCATATTGTTCAGCTAAATGGAAGTTAAGAGGTCTGCTTGTTTTTAGTACCCCACAAAATTCACATTATGGATAAACTTTTGCTCATGAATGGCAAGATTAGGCAATATCGGATAGAAGCAGGCATTCACTTAGTCCAACCAGAGCCACTGGCTTAACCCTTCCGTTATCAGCGACTGGAAGACTGGTTTGTCAACGGAAGGATAGGCAACTTTGTTAAGTTTCTTCTAGAAATCCTAATGCTGAAAATCCGGGTGGGAAACAATCCCCTTTCCCATGACATCATAAAACTTCATACCGAACATTTATAAAGCGAAACTAAGACAAGGTAGAATAAGGGGTTCAACAAAATAGTTACTAAATAGATAGTATGATGTGATCCTTCCAAGCGGATGCAGCATGATTACGACGGACGATCACGATAGGACTAAAGTCATAAGTTGTTTGTGCACATACAGCAGGGGTTTGCGAAAAATACTCGCGAGCGCTTTCTCCAATGCAAGTATGCGGCACATGCCTAAGTGAAGCGGGCATCTCTCACACAACAAATGGGTGAGTCTACTGAAGCCGATGCTCGATTATAGCGCTGGTACATGTTATGTTTTATCCTGGAATAAGCCACACTGAGTGATGACCGCGGAGGCGTTCAAACAAATTTCTTTCGGTGCGGCCTGGATAAATTGTTTCATACGAACGGGTAAATTGATAAACCCAGAAGGAAGCGACGTCCACAGACAGTCTAACCTCAAACTGCAAATGCGTAGGCTTCCCACATGTATTGAAAACGTTCATAAGATAATCCAAGTTTAGCTCCGTCTGTATTACTGCTGGTGTGGAAGATGGAAAATGACGTTTGATAGAAAGTGCAAACACGATTGCTTCAGCGATCGGTCCCGCACAGATGTATTCACTTTTTGAGGCTAATATATTCAAGTTACTACAGAGTAGAAGAGGGTTTCTGTATTGCTCGCCGCACCACTGAAATCCACGACCATCGGTTTCATCTTGGTTTGGACTTATCAGGTAGAGATAGCTGGATGTGGCAGTGGAACTCGGCACATCGGGGTTCGCGTATATTGCAATGAACACTAGGCCATTAAGCTCCACGAGCAGAGCTTGATACAGCGGCTAGAAGTTTGTTGTCTGGTTTTGGGGCACCTACCGTGTGTCTTGCATCTGGACACGCCATCTCAATTGTGGCCTCGATTGACGTTGAACAGATCATAAGAGTTTTGACTGCTGTATTCTAGCACTTTCGACTTCAAAGTGGATAGTTAATCAAAGTATCGGGTCCAGGAAAGCCAGTAAACTAATCTCCGGTGTAATTAAATTGCATGGTCATACGTTATACAGACATTCGAATTTTGCTCTTTAACAGACTCCAAAAGAGAAAAATGTTACGGAATAACGCTGAAGAATGTACGAGGCTCCAATACTAGGAATTGATTGAGATTCTTCACGTAACTCATATATTCCAATCAAAACTATACTCTTAAACCTCTCCGGTTACATGGGAGGAAGCTAAATTTCATGCTACCTCTCCAGTGCTCTGGTATGCAGTTACTGACCTGAATTGCCGACAGCACGGGATTTCAAAAGTAATAGCCAATGCAATGTGCCAGAAAAATAACACAAACTTTCGCACCAACCCCTTTGAACCGAAATCCCTTGTATGGTGAATACATGTTCGGATGATAAGTACAGCATTTCGTGATAGAATATGTAAGCCTATGGTTGATCAGAATAATGGATGTATGGCAAAGTAACAAGGTAGTACAGAAGCCATTCTGCGAAGAACCCCATGGGGACAAAGGAAGCACCGAGTTTCTGATCCGATGAGGCGGACGCTGGTCGGAATTTATGCTAGAAACGGATCTCCTTCCCCAGTGTCCGTACTGAGGATAATGGCTGAAAGTAGGAAACTGGAAATGTACGTACCCCGTTTCCCCCGATACAACAGTGCACATCTGTCGCCTAACATTATGCCAGCACACCGACTCCCGCGACGTGCATTGTTTGCGCGCCGGGGGTGTGGTTGGAACAGGAGAAGGTGAGGCCAAACGTTGACTTGGTCGAGAGACATGAAAACCCTCAATTGGAAGTTGGCGTCGGTTGGTGCATCCCGACTGTCTGGCTGGGGTCCTAAGGACAATGAACACGTTTGGTTGGACACTTGCTGATATGGCGAAGTACCGACCCAAATGGTGTTTGTGTTGTGAGTTTCTTTGTCTATATCCCTCCCTTTAGGTTCCCCTTTCAATCCGGTTCTCATACAAAACGCATGAGATAACATTTAACATGACAGCTTTTATAGTGTAATTTATGTAATTTGTAGTGTAATTTTTCGGTCTCTTATCTCTTTGTATTGCTGCACATTAGCTGAGGTGCGTTTCTCACCCTCAGCTAAGGTGTACTGATGATGATGATGACGATGATGATGATGACGATGATGATGACGATGATGATTACGACGACGATGATGATGTTAATGTCCCCTAACACGTGCGTCTACGCCTACTGAATGTTGTGAAATTGCTTTTATTCAGATCCTCTCTATACACGCCGTACATTTGAGTAACTTGCTCGGTGGAGAACAGCCACCATACAAAATTCCATTGCTTAGCATCAACGCAAGTGCTTACTCACTGGATAGATTCCTACGGGCACGAACTTACGTTGCACACACAATCCATTAACTAGCTTCCGATGACCCACAGTCACGTGGCTAGGCATCTGCCTCTAAAATCCGCAGTATTATATGCTACTCCGAACACCTGTACGTGTTGCATTATGGAAGAACCGTTATAGTACAACGAAAATGCTGTTTTATACTTCACTACTCCCTTAATACTAGTAGCTCAAAATCTAGTGTAGAGAATTTGTTAGCATTCGAGTTAGGATAGTTAATACGAGCAATGTTGTAAGGTGGGCTGTTTGAAACCATGCACATGTATGTACATGGTCATAGAAGGATAGAGCAACTAACCTGTTGACAGATGCTGTCAACAAGTCCTTCAGGGATGACCAATTCACTGAACAGTGTTGAAGCGTCATTGCCAAGGCATTTAAGTTAGATTAGCGCTAGAACCAACGATAACATGTATATGTGGTACGATGTTGCAATCAGACTGACCAATTAAAGCAGTAAGCAACCCTGAGACTGAAGGTTGGCAAGCAAACAGAAAAAATGCGCAGTAGTTGGTTCGCTATTGCAATACCCGCAAATCACATCATACTGGTGGGCTGTAGATGAGTGGTAGTATTGAGGTTCACCAGGGATTATTCCTTTGGAAGCCGTAAGTTTAATCAGATCAGACACGATATCATAGATTCACTGTGACTACCTCCTAAAGAAAAGAAGATAAACTTCAACCGGACGTCTTCGTCTTTGTTAGCATTCCTATTAGGACGCGATAGACGATGTAACACGCTCAAATCATGGCTATTAGTAAGCGACTTCTGGTCAGAGCGCAGTTCGTGACAACTTCAGTAAAATTATGCTTCCTTAGCTAGGCTTTTCAAAAAGGAAGTGAGCACTTTGGTGTTACTCCTGCTAACACTGATGCCCCACTACCGGTTTCGTCCTCGTTTGGACTAATCGGGTAGATACGGCCTGAGCTGGAAGTGGAAATGAGCATGCTAACCTGGCTTTGACAAATGTCCATCGAACTCATGTCCCCATCACGCAAAAAAGGACCCACGGAAACGAGTCACTGGTATCATGAGGCAAACTGGCCGTTTTAAAGGCGAAACAATCTAGACTGACAAAGCGTTCTGAGAGCAAATAAACGTAAACTGGCATAAGGCGATCTTGATAGAGTCTATGGCTGTCTTCCGAATTGCATTTTTCTGCTTCCAAGCGACGGACAGTGCACGTTGCAGGATGAGTAAGGGTCAACCTCGCAGTGTAAAGTTAAGATGACAACCACATGATGGAGCCACGTGATTCAACTCATTGTGACAGAAAGACGCACCAATGAAGCAGAAACTTTAGTCTGCCAGCCTACTTACACAGGCGAACAGGTATGAGTCGTGTTTCCTTCCCACGATGCACCACATTTTATGCAGTCCGCTCGCGATAAAGCTGTGCGGATAGGCGGTCTACGCTGTTGAATAATTGTTGCATGTTTCACCGCATATATCCGCTTCTGTCATTCCCATTCTGGTTGGCTAGGATTCATTCTATAGTTTGTAGCTTGCTTAGTTGTGGCTGCATCACTCTGACTGGGGTCAGTCCTGGAGGCTCCAGTATCAAGTTATTCGTCTGATAGATTGCGCGATCGACCAATGTCTTGTATGTTCTTCTCAGTTCAGGCTCGAGACCCAGTCTCATGTAGTTCTACCAGGCCCGAGGTGCGCAACCTGGTCTCCGCTTATCTCTGGCTCCACCTGTTCCAGTTTTCGTGGTATTCCTGTCTTCCGGGTAAACATTGTTGAAGACCAAATACAATAACGCAAATAATAGGCAACAATGGTAGATTTTACGGTGTCCCATAGGGAGAAGGGAGTTTAACATTGATTGTAAGGCGACCAGAAAGCCGTCTCATTGATACCAACTAATTACAGAAGGAGAGCCAGGAGCCGCTTGAGGTTGCTAAGGTGTATGCTTCCTGATGCTAAATGTTTCTCACTGTATTCGGTCATATAGTAGGCGTTTTCGGGATTTAACTTTACATAACAGTGATTTACCAGTCAACATACTGACGCCCTGAATTTGATGACGGTATTGCAGACAAGCGAAATCTGTGGCTGAGTGCGAAGTGCAGTCCATGGGCAAATAAGACCATTCAGGCAAACCAGTCCAACCTATAAGCCGGTCGACAATCTTATGAGATTTCAACATGTACTCGATCCTGTTTCCAACATAGTGAACAGACTACGGGGGCGTTATAAGTATGTATTGCGATGACCATTCAATAAATCCACGTATGATGTGTTTTCTGCCACAAACGTTAGGCAGTTGGGGCCAGATAACCCTGTATTATAAACTATAAAGTTACGCCACGTCCAATAGCCGTTAACTAAGTCGAGTAAGTTCAGTGTGTTTACAGATGGGCGGCCGCTCCCTACTGGTTGGTATGGTTAACTACCCCGTAACAAAGTAGAGAAGTGAAGTATGAAAATTAGTTAAAATGATGCTTGCTTTCACGAGCATGGGTCTGTTTGGCACATATTTTGTCTATCCCATGGAACTAGCCTTTGCAAAGGAATTGTGGGGAATTGCGCCCTCATGAATCGAGACATCTGGAATGGTATTTTTGTGGGGATAATGAAAACTCCATCGTTCCTTTTACTTTGACAGATAACAGAGACAGTTAAAATGCGTGAGAAGACAGTCTCCATCTTATCGTCATACAAACGCTTGACTCTTCGCGATTCTCAACGGTCTCACATGGACAGCGACTGTCTCTAGACGAGGCAACCGAAAACCACCGATTTGCGTCAACCACGTGTATGACTTATTCCTTTCACAAAAGCCCAATTATCTCAGATGCACTTGATGCTATGCAACACATTTCTCCTATCCATTCAACAGTTTCCATCCTTTCAGAGTTCAACTGCATGTGTCATTTATTTTTGAAGTATGAAAAACAGAACATCTTCACAGTGTATTCTGTAATCAAGATTCACACATTTTATGTACATACTTGGTTTGTTCGTTCCTGATATAAACAGTCTTGTTCACGCGGTTAGATTGAGTATACAATACGCACTTTCAGAAAATGGAGTCTCAGGTTAGCAGAAATCATCGAAAAGTTAGACAATGACGAAGAAATGGGGAGAACTTATTTATTGGGTTGTAGATAGCAGAGGGAGAACCCTTGTCAGCTCCGACAGTGTTCTCTAATGCATGTTGGAATGTTGTGTTCAGTGAAGAATGCCAATAAACTCGAGTTATTGTAGGAACATCGGAAACCCCATAACATCGTGGAATGTTCCGCCTAAGCTGAAACAACGATTCAACGGCAATGTGGAACACTCGCACAAAGCGTATGAAAATTTCAATTCATACTTGCTGACCAAGATCCTTAGTGTGGGTAACGCAAGTTCGAGGGACCCATTGGTGCGGATTGGTTCCAACGCAAATCCTAGTTCACATCATCATCGACTACGTCACAGAGAGTGCCTATTCACATTTTCTTTTCCATTTCGAAACTTGAGGGTGGAATTGATGGAAGAAGTCCACCGCATCCTCCCCATTTCTAATCCTTCGAGAGGGCCCGTTGCAAATCACACCTACTTGGCAATTACACTTGCACAACTGGTGTGGTCAAACGACTCCATTCATCGGGAAAGGTGAATCTCCATCCACGTGTCTTCTTAGGTAGTAGTGAAAGTAGGGATTTGGATTAAGCTACCGAAGGAGATTCTTCACAGGCATTATGATCGAGAAAATTCCTTTGGAAGGATCGAGTAACGCAATTCCACCAGGATCAAATCAACAACAGAGGCGGAATTGAATAATGGTACTATTTACAAGCAAACTAGTAGGCATAAAGAGTACATACTGCCACAACAACAACAACAACAACAGCAACAACAACAACAACAACAACAACAACAAACAACAGTTCCAGCTCAAATCACCTACGGTAGCAAGCTCTTTGGTCTGAAAGTTAACAAGCAAGGCTTCAGAGTCACCGGGGTACAGAGTGACGGAACAACAATGCACAACATTGTCATGAGAAAAGCGAAATGACGGAACTGATTAATTCCACGAAGATAACGCGGGCAAGGAAAGCAGTGGTGCCAGTCAGGTTGTAAGCGTTCCACAATGTGGTCATAGATGCGCATAAACAGATGATGGGGGTGCCAGATAATATTAATCGATGCAGAACCGGAGTGTAAATGCAATTGGGGGTTCACCGAAAGCTTGTGTCAAATGTGCACGAACTTTATAGGAAAGTTCACTTTAGGTGGATTGTTAATCGTGTTAGTGTGTGACCGTATTACTTGAGACACACAGACTGTGAGTTAGTCCATTAGGCCTAGTTTTGGCTGATATCTTTATGGGTCCCTTGGAAAACACCGTCCTACGTTCTTATATACAGAATGTACACTTTTATGGCAAGTATATGAACGATACCTTTGTGGTTGTCGACACATCTCAGCAGGCGGCGTATCTACCGGAAACGATGAATAAGTGTCATCTCGCGATCAAATTCAGGGTAGAAAACGAATCCGACGGATCCTTCCATTTCTGAAAGCTAGACGGTACACTCGTTCGGTCTGTGTACAGAAAACCAACATGGAAGCGAGAGTACCTGAACTTTAATAGCTTCTGCCTTATGAACTGCAAGCGAACTTTTGATAGAGTTCGTCAAATTGGCTCTTCGGAGACTATAGAAGGTGAACTGGAACGCATCACCACGACACTACAAAAGAATGGATATCCCAAGCGATTTGTGGCACGGTAGGCGAACTTATAGCCGAAGGATAAACCATCAACAGAAGTTCCAAAGAGAAAGGTATTTATTACGCTGCCATTTAAAGGGGACCAGTAGACAGAAGATGTCGGCAGTGTCTTCGTCAATCTAACAAAAAGTGCTTTTACGATGCTGAGCTAGTGACATTGCACCAAATCAGGAGGCTGCTATGCATATCCAATCTGGACAGATTGGACTCTCAAGTTACCGCTTCGTGCATAGACCTATTCTCCTATACTTGCGGTAGCAAGTACGTTGGCAGAACTGTGAAAAGTCTATCAGCGAGGATTGCAGAACACGTCCCCCGATACATGGTCGCAAATGGCCCGAAACTACTCACTAGCTCTATTGCACGCTATGTACTTGATTGCCTTGTGTGCGAAAACCCACGTGGCGAGTTTAAGGTAATCGACAAACAAAACAGTCTCCGTCTAATTCAGTTCGCCGAGGCCTCGGCGATTCGCCGGTTGAAATCATGTCTGTGCAAACAAACGGACTTCGTGTCCAGCCTTGCCCTACCCTGGTTAGGCTAATGTCATCTTTCCTCTGACCGGGTCACGTAAAACTCACGGATTTTCGACCGCTTTAAATTTTCGTTGATAACACTGCAACTTGATCACCCTTTCTATGTAGCCTATCCCTTTCACAAAATGTTTGTAAACAGCTGAAGAGAACACATACAAGTACTGAATTCAGTATATCCTGTTAGATGTGGTTTCTTCTTGCTCTTTTGAAATTCGTGAACGGAAATGCTTGTATGGTCTGTGAAGGCTAACTTGCCTTAGCAGCAACCGACTAACAAGCAGAAGATTAAAGAGACCGGAAATATGGATATTTCAAACAAGTAACGTGCCCATTTAGGATGATGTAGAACAGTAGCAAGAGCAGTACGTGGTGGCTTAGGGATCAAGGCGTCAGCTGTCAGCCACTACGTCGTTCAGGTTCCCAGCTTCGATTATCTTTACACAGTGGGTTGGAACAACGATAGACCCGGTCGCGGAATGCGGAGATGGGAGTGAGCAGCATTATTAATGTTTCCATAAAGCGACAGGGTCACACAAAAGTGTGTCGATATGCAGAAAACAATCCATGGGTGAGATGAAGAGAGCGCTTCTAAAACAGAGCTGCATGAGTGTGTGTGTGTGCGTGTGCATACATAAGGGGTGTAGTTGAAATTAATATGACCGAAGATTGGAGAACGTGGGGAAAAGGGGATAGAGTTCGGCTCCACGATGTAAGACATACCTTATCCCGCGGAGTCAATCGAGTCCATGGCTTATCGGCCCGACGATCGTACACGTCTGCCTCTGTGATTTCCACGTAATCGTTGAAGCGTATAATTCGACGTTGCTGCAACTCCTTCACCGTCGGACGCGTGGAGAGCTAGTGAGAAAAGACCAAGATTCGTTTAGTCAGACGCATATCAGCGAGGAGTTCAAATGTCATTCGAGGACGATTGGAATCCGAACTGACAACTTTTAAAGATGAAATACAGTAAGACAGAAATTCCAGAGCACCGAAGGACTTAAACCAACCTTGTCAACACGCAGTCATTCAAGGGGGAGAATAGAGAGGATAAAGTTAGTCAAAGAAAAAATACGAGTTTCCGTGAGGACAAAAGTGGCCTACAAGGGACATAAACAGAAAAGTAGAACGTGGGAAACCGCGCGGTGATACCGGACCAACAGACGAATGGTTACACTAGAGTGCCGATAATCATGGCGGAAAATTCCAATGTCATTGTCCACATAGTACCGCATATTACCGTGTATAAGCAGAGGAATTTTGGACACTTTTTCATGTCTGTAGTGCGGGGGGGGGGTCGGCTTGTACAAAGATGATGCGCAATTTGAAAAATCAAATGCAAAAGCCAACCAGAAGTTCACTGCTTACTTATGCCCCTATCTTGTCTTAGCACCACTCGCTAGTGACAGAGGGTATCCCAGGCAGGGATTTGAAGTGCCTATAGGTATCTTGAACATTTGACTTTCGCAACGGATGGCAGTAACAGAAACATACTGAGTATACAGAATCGAACACCATTACAACAATCACATTGGAAAAAGACATGACAGAACAGCACGTTCGGTAGATTTTATAGGCGCACATATCCAGACGCTGTACAATGGTATCAAAATAACTAGAATCCTTTGAAACTGGAATCCGAGTCAGAATCGCTAAACAGTTTCTGGTACTGGTCGTCTGTCATTGACAAGTCAGGGTGAATATCGTCATCTGTGCGGTTCAAATCTAAATTCTGGCGGCTCTAAGCTCTATGAAGTGCGAGCATAACATATCAGGTCGCCGGAACTGTCCAATATTAGAGCAACTTTCGCTTGAGGATACCCAAGTGAGAGCAGGTGAAGTCAACATCGTGAGAAACAAGTTCGTTTCGCTTTTTGCTGATTTTGGACAAATTTGACATTGCAAAGTCATACGGTCGGCTGACACACGGTAATATACGGTAACTGTTTTACTGCCGTGTATTCTCAGACAGTCAAATTCATACATTCAGCAATAGGATCTAACGAACGATGATCATAAGTAATTGGAAACTGTGGCAGTTGAGGACCCTTGCTTCCAGTGACAGCGACTACCACGGCAAGTAAAGGATTGTCATGTGAAGTTGTTCTTATCGTCTGGGATTCAGCCCCCGTGTGGCGGAAGGCTTAAGGAATCGGAGCAGGCTTCGACCATAGCGCTTGCTGAAAACTACGAAGATGGTTTTTGCCCATTGCGCAATGGAGCAAGTGCCGGGCGACCGAACAATTGGGTTAAACTAGGTCTACTCAATGCTAAACACATCGGAATGTGCTTCATAATGGTAATTGACGATCATCTCCTCCCAGCGAGGTCCGTGTCTAAGTCGGATTCATGCGGCAGCTTATTAATCTGGTGTAGCTATGTACAGTAGCAACTTTGTATGGATCAGTGTAACTCGAAGCAAAATATTTTATCTTTTGGTTCTTCCGTGATTAACTGACATTCCCACCCGTTAGGCTGATAGATTTGTTTAGAGTGACCAGTGTCAACTAGCGTGAGTACAATAAACTGTAGGTCACTTTTGAATGATTCTTCCAAGAGCATATTCAGTGACTTCTATAGAAAATTGTGCAAAATTAGATCGTCTTATGGTTGCTCATCGAAGTTACTACTGCGGAATTGTAAACAAGGGCGCGTCCAACTTAGTGTATCGTAACGCGATCTTAAAGAACGAGTCGCCTGGTCTGCCTTTTACAGCAATGTCTACGAAATGAAACGCGTCCGTAGAATCGCTTTCCATTGTGAATGCGCTTTCACGATACAAATTGCTCAAGATTTAAGGATTCAAATAATAAGGATACAGTCATCAGATCTAGACTCAATCAGACGGTCATAACACGCACGGAAGAGCAATGCAAGGCCATTTCATCCTCTTAGAAATTGTCAACAGTGCGCATTCCATCTGGTCCTTGTGGGACCCGAAAGGCTCCTACAGTGCTTCTTCGTAAGTGTTATGACTGTCTGACTGAGTCTAGATGTGACGAATTCCTACTTATAACATTCAACTCCTCATAGTCCTCATTTGTAACTCAAAAAACGAATGAAATTCGATTTATCCCGTGAAATGTTGTTTGTTCTTGATAGCCGAAAGCAAGCTGATGTTCAACAAAACGTTGAGGAGTGTTCAAGAGCGGAATATGGTTGGCAGTAAGGTTTAGATTGGTCTTGTCCCATGCGTCTAGGGTACATAAACGATACATTCGATCGACACGCCACGGTGGTTCGATACGACTTTTCCGTCTAGCTTCAGAGCCAATACGACAGCGATTCCCAGGGCAATATTATTTACAACGATTGCAAAATGTCAACCACACCCACCAGGATGTGCAAGAAAGACGAGATGTTCGGGTAGGTGGGTAAAGAGTGGAATTTCGAGTATGCATTGCTAAGTGATTTATTGATCACAAAGTTAGAATTTCAATAGAGAACAAAGAGATCAGACGGGAGTCACAGAAACGGCTTTTCTTCCCCCCAGAGCGTGGTTCCGTGTTCCACAGTAATTCGAACCCATTAAGCGAAATCATCGTCGCACATTTCCACATAGATGGGTGGCAACTGCGAGATCATTCTGAGAATCAGTATCCATACATCATCATCCCAGAATGCGAAGCAGATGGTTACGCTCGAACCAAACGCTTGGTGATCAAGCACAATGATCCAAAGAGGCGAATGATGGGACGTTATTTCCCTCGGGATAGAGGTATTTGATCAGGGCAACGCAAAGACATGATCGACTTGTTTGCTTCAAACACAAAACGACCGGATTCGTCTATGAGTGAACGTTACAGTTTTACATAGCCGTAACAGGGAATTCAAGTTACGACGTCGTGACTACCGGCTGAGTACTCTAACACACACGGCGAGTGATACGAAACTCGATGGAGAACGAAGCGGCCTGCTTGTACGGCATGTTTGTGTACGTATCAGTGAGGCTGAGAAGGTTGGTCATAATTCTATGCAAGGTAGGTAGATCGGTGAGTCCGGATACAAACCAGTGAACGATCAACAAGACACTTCGATGTGTTCCCACAAACGGGGTCAGCTGACCAGTTCGCTCCCACGAAATCGAATTGCACTTAACTTCTTCCGAATGTATGGATTCGTAATCGGTTCCAAGCCCATTTCGAGGTGCTCAACTGACCATTCATTCTTCTCTGCGGTAACAGGACTACGTCCTTTAGACCAGAAAATCTTCACCTCGTTCCGGTTTTGGCCCATTGTTTCCTACGGAGCAAGTGTATCCACAGAAAGCAGCGGTACAAACGAGTTCCATGACTAGATTAGTTCGTTAGGTTGTTAATATCAAGATGTATTGGGCACGTGTTAAGTATGTCCACCTGCCAATACCCGAGAAAAACCATAATTTTTACCGAAAGAGTACGGCTCGAATGTGGCGATTGTTGACATGGCCGCGGGGTATTGAAGCCCAAACATCGAGGTCCTGATTAGTATCGTCTTCCAGACTAAGATTTCATCGACACACCCTGTGCATGGCTGAAGGCAGCTTTAAGGGAGTTAGGAAGGCAAAAATCACAATCAGTTCGTTTGCTGACGTTCTTCAGCTAAACAGTTGGGTAGAGTTTCTATGACGCTGAGCTTTTTGTGGACTAAAGTGGAGTATTCCGAGGACCAGTGGAGACTTCAAAGGAACAGTTTCACCGATAAGGTATCATCTTCGAACAATAGCCAGGTGCATGAAGTTAGCAAAGTTGAAGCTTGGGGGATATCGGGTTAACATTAGAACACTTACCCTCAGTGGCAAGGATCATCGTAGTTGTGTGAAAGTGAAGCGTTAGAGTGTAGTGCCGGAACATTACTGTTCAGGACAACAACGGCTAACCCATCAGGCCACTTCGTGTACGTTTGTAGAAGCGCAGATAATTTTGCAGTGGTGAGTGAGAAACGAGCACGGTTAGTGAGTTAAGTGTTCATAAAACGCACGTATTCCATTGATGGGTAGTGTACAGTGCGTCTACGGCTTCACGCGAATGCGTACACAGTCCGAGTGGGATGCATGCTGGGAATGAGAGGGTTGTATTTATAGTAAACATTTTGTGTTCAAGTAGGGTGCGAAATGCATGGCCAGCCCGTAGCCTAAAGGAACACAAGCCTGCCTTGTAATCTGACGACGCGGGTTCGAGTCGGCGTGGTGGACCACGCTACCCTCGCAGTATCCTCAGCCCCACGTACGACTGGTGGTGGTTTCGCGGCAGCGAAGCTACGGTACCGCAAAGTGGTGTACTGCTGGTACCTATCTCCTTTTTAATGAAATGCACGAGTAGAGATATGGGTAGAGCAGCGCAAGTAATTCATAAGCATATACTGTAGACGTGGATATCGAGTGGTTATACAAACTCTCAGGCACAGGCTGATCTGGACGTAGACGCCACCAACCAAACTGGGATTGCCCATTGACTGTTGTTGGGCCTTTAAATCGGTTGTTGCTATTTTCCGTGGAACACCGTCTTTTCAGTATCTAATGCGGATTCAGTGGTTTTCTCCGCATTGCCTCTGATTACACATCTCAAATGTCACCGACGCCGTCCTACAGTGTTAATTATTAAAACAAGACGTCCAGATACTATGCCTAGTATAAAATGTATGGATTTTGGTCATAAAATCGCAAATACATCTGAACGGATTGCTGTTTCGGTACAGGGAAGAAGCGCCGTACTGATTGAAGAACTGGCCTTCTACGCTGCACATGACGAAAATCCAGATGGTTCACTCCAGAAATAAGCGTTATTTGCCCATGGAGGGATTACTTATTCAAGTGACACCTGCGTACCGTGTTCCTTGTTTATATTCATACAATTGTACATTTCTTATGATGTAAATTCAGCCCATCCTCAGTCGGTATTGTAAAATGCTGAAAATGTGCCCATCTGGACACATGATATTTAATTTGGCTTGACTCTAATGTGGTTCTTAATGGGAGTATTTTGTACGATCGGGCACTGAGCGGGAGTGCGGATGGATCTATATCATTACCATTACAGATGGGAACCGAGACGATCTTGGTCGTCGCTAAACAAGCTGATTTGAGAGAAGAGATTCATATAAAATAGTTACAGTGCGATCACGAAACCCAGACGTGAAATGCGCTTAATAACGAGTATCTTTGAAGCATTTCCAATGCCAAATAATGGTCACTAGGGAATGTTTCAGCCAGAGATGTACAGGAAGTGCTGGACAGTAAAGTTCCACGTATACTCTGTGCGCAGACTCAACAGTTACCACGGTGTCCATGGCAGTCGCTCAAATCAGCACAGAAGCGATGGTAAAAAGGTGTCTAATAAGTGAGCTCAAGTTTGGTCGCGACATTGCAAACTCCGTTCCTGGTTGGAAGACGCCAGAGCATGAACAGCTTCAGACATTACAGTACCCGGAAGTCATACAGGTCGTGGGGATGTCGAAATCTGGCGGCAGCAGCCGTGTCATGGAAGCCAATCTACCTAATGCCTGTGCACCGGCGCAAGTGCCACGTGGTACAACTGCAATAGGCTGCGAAATGTGCAAGTTGATGGAATGCAGCTCATGTTATCTCCTTTACGGATAAAGAAGGCTGAGATGAACACTAACGCAGATAATTTGGTGACCTGCACATTACGCACAACCACAAACGGGCGGTGATCGTGCGAAAAGAGAGAGAGTGGGGGATCGGTGAAGTAGCTTCACTGTGGCTTTCAATGAGGCCCACAACGAAGTTAGCACCGCCACATATCCGTTGCACAGGTAATGCAGCTGCGGGAGAAAACCAAATGAACCATGGAGCTTTACGATTCCTCAGACCAGGTAAACGAGATCAGCAAGTATTGGGCGGGCGTACGTGGCATGTATGCCGAAGTCGACGAAACCGTTAGTGTTATCATTCATCGAATGTATTGACCTAATCAGCATCGCCTACTACTCGTATGAGCATCATTGGGAATCCGCCCGCGTCACTGGATAGCGGCGATGCTGCGTGGGTAACTCTGGTGAACGACCTGAATACATTCAAACCCATCTGACAAGTGGAACTAGATTTCACAATAGTAGGGGAGAATTGTCCTCACTGCGGTCATGTATGCACGGACGGAGGAGAATGCTTCTCTGGTATCAGAGGAGTCGTAGATCTGCTGTGGTAGTCTCATATTTGCCATTGATATCCGTACATTTACTTGACTGACATATGTGTAGTAAACTTGATGTGTGTACACAACACAACCTGCCAAAAACAAGCTACTATCAAGTAGATGGTGAGAACACCGTGAACCAAAGATGCCAGAGCCAACTCAACAAGACAGTCTGGTGCTATTAAGTAGGGCAAAAAAGCGACCAAGACAGATAGCCGTTTGGTGTGATGAAACAACTGGCCCAACTAGGTACCGGATTAGATAAATACAGAATGGAAGTGCAAACCGAAGTGGTGTTGGTTATGCAAAACCAATGAGAGACCGCGCTCATCGCCTGACCAAAGGCAATAGACTTAAAAACAAAAAGCTCATGGGAATACAAGATGGAAAATAATAGCCTAATAATGTTTCGACCAGTCGTTTGATCACCAGCGCCCTGAATAAGTGACCGAGTTAGGTCGAGACCGAAAACGATGACTGCTAATTCCGATCGCAAAATTTTCGATCGGAATGGAGAGGATTGTGAGAAAAGCCGAGAGGATGAAGTAGCTGGCAGGCAGGGTGCAGCTTATCGAAGTAAACAGCAGCGTTCATCCTTAAGACAAGGAGCGGATAAGAGGACAGGAGACGTGTCCCCAGGAAACGAACAGTCTACAAAACCAAGAGAGGGAGAAGAAAAGAAGGGGACAAATCCAGGATGCTTACCTTTCGAGTAAGTAGACGTTTCTTCTCCTCCTTCGCTTTCATTCGCATCTCTTCCGTCTCGGCTATTATTGAAACGAGGGACAGAGACAGGTAAAAGGGTGAGGTCCATTGGTTAAGCGAACAAGAGCATTTCTACCCCATTTAATGAAGCCGTGAAAAAGAAATGCAGCAAGCGATATGAGACAACAAACAAATACTGGAAGAAAACTCCGGTCGCACCCTAACAGATCGGAGTGGACGCGAAATGTGCATAGTGTCGGCAAGGTTTGGTGCAATAACATGGCTGATTCGACGTCCACCATGTCTCAGGAGCATATTGAAATGCGGTGTCGCTGCATCTGACACCACCAGCTCGTACAGAATGGTCTTAGCTGGTGACACTACTGAGAACGGCCCGATATCGTGGTGCGCGTTCTGACGATGACGAAAACTACGCGTACCTAGAGGTAGCTAACCAGAAAGATGATTATAAACAGGCATATACGATGTTAGAGATGCGAAGTGCTACCTATTTGAATCAAGAGCTTTATAAAGAGGAGGAACCCAGTGAAGTGGAGGGGATGCATTTTAGCAATGCGGGAAGTGTTGACCGAAGTCAGAAATCCACCGAAAAACCCCACGAAATGGAGAACGAAAGTGCCCAATATAGCGCATGTTCGGTTTAGATGGAGAAGCCGAAAATCTCGAAGTGTTATTATGCGGCCGAACTTGTGCTAATGTACCAAGTAAGGTAGCTGCTATGTAAATCCAACCTTGACAAGCCAGGCATTATAGTTACCGCCTCATGTGTTTACCTCTTTCATTGTACTTGTGATAGCAAGTACGTAGGCCGCACAGAGAGAAGGTTGTCAATTAGAATTTCAGTGCACATTCCACGTAATATGGTCGCGAACGGTCCCAAGCTGCCAGCAAGCTCCACTGCTCAACACAACCTAGACTGCTCTGTATGTCAAAATCCTCAAGAGTCGTTCAGGAGAATTAACCGACAGAGGACTCCTCCCCTGATTTAGTTTGCTGAAGCTTCAACAATTTGGCGGCTAAAACCTAATTTATGCAGTGAGTTTGCGAATAGCCTTACCTTGCCTCGGTAAATTTTGCTCTTTATTTTGATGGTTTCAAATTTAAATTGTATGACCTTGAAAATTGTTTCGTTTAAACGCAAAACCATTTTCCATGGATTGTAGGTTAACAGCTAATGCGAATATGCGAAATCTCTGAATTCAAAGTATCCTGTTGAAATGCTGTTCCATCTTACCATTTAAAAATTTATCAAAGGAAAGTCCTGCATGAAAATTGTATGTGGTTAGATCTGCCGACAAAATGTGGCAAGTAAGAATAGAGATGCTTTGAAAGGTGAAATGATAAACTCTTTCCAAGGGGAAGAATACACAAAATATGGATCAAATGTTGATGGGCATCCGATATAGATCAAAGCCTGATAAGAAATAAGCAGGAAACAAATATAAATTTCTGACAAAATAGATCCCAAACTCTGCTGAACTGGCGCGTAATTTCGCTAGCCGTAACGTGTCTGAAGTTTTCGACTCGTTTGTACTTTGCCAGTGAAAAAAGTTCAAACGCTTCAAGAAGAACTGCCAGGATAGTGTGTTTACTTTGCCAGTAAGAGGGTGGTCAATTTGACGGTGAAAAGCTTTACCTGATTGGAAAAATATCCCATTGACAGAAATTGGTGAAGAATTTCATCGTCAGTGGTTCACCACCACCAAGGTAGCGTATATCGATGAAAATATATAGACGAAACTGTGGGATAATAGCACAAGAACCGTAGCATAGATTGGCATGGAGCATTAGGCAAGCCGTGAGCACTGCCATGTTTGGCTGAGCAGAGAAGTTCGGGCGCAGTGGGGAAGTAAACGCAAACAAAGCGAGTGAAACCGATCCGTTGCATCACGACCTCATATATACCATATTCAATTCTAAGCGTGCTAAGAATGCAAGGCAGATCAGACGAGTTGTGTGTTGGAGAGCCTAGGTCTAAATAGTATAGCAGCTCGAATATAGAAACTCAGGCTTATTGCAGACATCCTTCGTGGTACCTTTCTGACTCGCAGTCCCGCCGCGCCCCTTCATTCACAACGTATCGGCGGAGGTAGATTTTTGGACAACGCGTCCTTCGTCTTGTTGATCTGTGCATCACGCTTCCTTCACCTGCGGCGATACACGATTTCTCTGACTTCCTTGCGCTTCCTCGTTTCCACACATAGTATTGGGCAATACTGCACCAAACGCGTGACAGTTAGAGAGTGAGTTCCACTTGCTGAATGGGTTTCCCTTATGTCTGCAGCACAATCATGTTAAGTTTATCGGATCGAATGGGAGAATCAGCTGTGACATGCTAATGCCAACTATTATAAGGATTTGTAATGGCGCAATTTTATCGGCTGGTCGAATGAGAGAAAAAAGGACTAGAAAAATACTTTTCCCAAGCTGCGGATGAAGCGCGTTATAGCGCTGCCTCTATACATAGTCTAATGTCATGACTCGCTGACTCATAAGAGGGAAATTATGGATCCGAATCCAGCAGGATCAAGCGGATGCACACAGTTGAAAAGTCGCCAACAGGGAGAAAGCGCTATGCAGCGCCTTTATAAATGTGTAGTGAAGTGCCGTCTGAGTTTGTCTACGGCGAATCAATACAAAAATACTAAAATCCCACTAGCACCAGCCTGGTGGTTTTAGTGAGTAACATTGGAGAACCGCCAGTAAATGAGTCTGGCATTGATGATCAGTATCAAGTTGATGGAAGGAGTACACGTTCAACCCAAGAGTGTTTCGAGCTGCGCAGAGAGAGAGAGAGCTTCAATGAGCCGCGTTTCATACTAGTAAATTCCAACTTCTTAATTTCACGACAAATGCCCGCAGCAAAACATAAGGTAGGGAATCGGTTAGCAATTTCGGATTAGCGCCTAGAAGGATACATGCAGAGCAGAGGTGACTTGAGACAAGAGCTAAACTGCATCCCGCATCTTGAAAGCACGCGTGGTAGTACGACGACCTGGGTTAGAGAACCATATAACAGAAAAGGTGAAAACGCGTGTCTTCTCACATGCAACAAATAGATCAACATGTACCAAAACAAAATGACACATCACTCAATCATGAACTTACTGTACAGTATGTTTTTCTGCTCCAATTCGCCGACTGTGGGACGTTGACTGAGGCGACGCTCCAAGGTGGCTTCTATTTCAATGCGCATCTCAGCTCGCTGTTCAGGAGTAATGCTGGGCAATATGTTTTTCTCAATCAAGTCATCCGACGTCGGTCGAGTCTCCAAGAAGCGGCCAATGCGATCGGCGCGTTTGAGCCATAAGTCACGCTCCAGTCGGCGTTTGATTGCCAGATTGGCGGGAGAGGTAACAGGCGAACTGCGATTGTGCAGCTGTTCCTCTTCCTCCTCACTGTCCAAGGGCAGTTGGAATAAAAATCGACAATCGCGACCGAAGGGGTAGGTGGGTCGGCCAGGCAGTTGAGGAGCTACCGCAGAGCGGGAGATAGCTGTGGTCTCTAAGCCTCCGTTGTGCGTAGAAGGCAGGGGGCATTTAAGAGTAACTGGGTTGGCAGGCGATGGTCGCACAGTGGAGTTTGGGGATTTGAAAGTTGCTGAGCTGGATGACGGAGATGGAAATCGTCTATTCCAGGGAGGGTCATGCCTTGATGAAGATGAATAGGGAGTCTTGGGTGAACTTAGCTGAACTACACCAAGCCGATCGGTTAAACGTCTTGGAGTAACTACCGGAGCGATGGAAGGGGATGAAATAGTATTTTGATCAGGGTGTCTGGCACCGTTTGCCAGGCCATTGAGGCGAGGAGGGGAGGAGGCAAAGTGTGACACTGTGGGTTTGAAACATATGGGACCGGGGCGTATGAATCCAGCAGATTCGTCTGTGTACAACTCCGAGTTGGACGGTGAAGAACCCGACGCAGAATCGGATAACAGCGAGCTACCAGGCAGGGAGAGCAGGCTTGGCGAAGTGAAGTGATTGGGAATGGAAGCCGATGACGAAAATAAATTGGAGCAACTTCCGGTGGTGACGGACTCTTCGTCACAAGATGTGTTCGGGCTGAAATGTTACAAGATTGGAGACAACTGACCAAGGGAGATTAAGCATGGAAGCCAAGCTCAAACGGAGGTAAAGGAGGACAAGTTGTGACAAGTATCAGGAAGAAAATTGGATTTTACCGTAAAGATGAGGGTGAATGAAATAAACAAAATACTTAAATGCAACAGTAATTCAAGTTTAGCCAGTTATTGACACGTTGAGCTGGAAAAGGCGTTAACTGAGGGTATCATCAGATGCAGCAGGCACAATCATCAGATAAATGCTTCTCCAAGGTAATTCGTACAATCTGGGGAGGAATTCAAGTGGCCAGAGAACAGCAAAACACGGTACACACACGTTGTTAGAATTCACGAGAATGAGTAAACCGAAGTCAATTGTATACAGTGATCCAACAGCGGTCACGTCTTACTTCACACATTACTTGCCTAAGCGTGCACATGATCAATTGTGCACTAAGCCCAGAGAACCAGTAAAATCATAGGGAAGGGCAGCATCTATTGTAGTGGACCCGAGAAAGAATGTTTACGAGGAACGGAGCGCGATGGTCGTGAGCAAAACTATGGTGTGCGAATACTCACAAAGATTCACTCTGGAATGTGGGGGTAACAGCAACAAAGGTCAAACAGCAAATGTGGAAACAGCGAGTTTGCTAGCGTACAGTCCAGAATCTCGAAAGGATCCTCATGCCTCAAAATGCGAAAGGCCTGCAATTGGTCACGATGCGATGACATCATGGGGATTCTCCACGTGTGTGAACGATAACTTTTAACTAACACGTGGTGGAGTGTGAATCTTATGCAAGCAGTGCTGGATCGATGAGAGTTACTTAAAAGCCCATCACAGCCAAGGCAAAAAAACTAATGGAGGACGTTATTCGCCATACCGAGTCTCGGATAGTGTAAATCACGAGGTAGACAACTGTTCCGTGACGATTGAACCGAGTGCTGATAGCTCGCATCAAGCCTGCTCGACGCGCTCAGTGCTTGGCACCAGGCTGTAAAGGAAATGGCCCGTAGCCGGTATCGTTTCCTGGCTGGACTACCAATCCAAAGTTGGGATGCTGCGCAGTAGTTTGCGAAACAAGGTTGATTATGATGTAGGACAGTAAAAGCGGCATTAAGGCTATGTTGTTGATACCATCTTATCGCACCATAACCAGGTGTTCGTGACTGAGTGGCGCCGGTAGATGTCCTGACTATGGGCTTATACTAGGTCCCTATTCTCTCCTGCAGCAGCGAAGCGCCAAATAAGGAAGCCATCAGCAGTATGGTATATTTTTTGGGCAACATTTCGCTTTTGATACAAAGGCTTAGTCAGGCCAGGTGAATCAGTGTACAATTGGAGTGGCATTTGATACCGAACAGGGACAATGACCGCGATACCTGGTATTTGAGCCAAGGTGACGTTACAGTGCGAGCTCGCGAGGTCACCTTAGGTAGTTTGATCACAGCGGCAATAGCTAGCTGGTTAATAATTACGTATTGTGTATCCGTGGAGAGCAATGGAGTCACAAAACATATCTTGCGTACCGTCGCTCAGGTGATTAAGACAACACATTAGATTAGAGAGAACAAACAAGCCGGAGAACACACAAGTGATAGACGAAAATAGATACCAGTGGAAGATAAAAATCTACCGTAAAGTATCTCGGAGTTTTCTTATCTCACAATCTATCTTGGTCTACACACATTCCTGAAAGTTGAAAATAGCGGGAAGGATCTTTTTCCACGCCCACAGGCTTAAAATGCTTTCCGTTCCCCGTGTCTTTTAATTCGAAGGTTTGTAACTGCATACTGTTATTTTATCAGAACTTCATCAAAAACACGATGTCCTCTTTGTCCGTTCGCTAAGTTTATTTCTCGTTCCTCTGGATAAATGAAAGAACCGCTCATTGATTTTATTGCTGTACTTGAGGTTCGTCGCAGCCAGCTTCCAAATCATATAGTCGTCCACATGCCCAGAAAAGCACTAGAATGCAGTTTCAGCCTATTGGGTATCAGCAGTAGTGCGCATCCATCGGATCCATCAGGTTTGGAACCCATGACCACCAGCGGTTTGAACCGCCAGTCAGTAGCTTATGCCACTGGGCCACGGGGGACAGCGTCGGACCGTCATGAATTACAACCTAACTGCGACCGCTATAGGGTGTCTTATCCTCCACTGTCATGCAAGTTACGAACGTTGAAGAGGACAGGGTTGGCCCGAAAAGACACGTTATATCGCAGTTAGCTTGTAAATAATGACGGTCCGAAGCTGTCCCCCGCGGTCCAGTGGAATAGGCTGCTGACTAGCGGTTCAAGCCGCTGGTGATCATGGGTTTGAACTGGCTGCGACGAACCGTCAACCTTTTATAGCAAAATCCCTACTCATGACTACATCATAAGATATCCGCCCTAACAGTTTCTAAATGCCATGTTGTACATCGTTGCTGTCAGTGGACGTGCTTTCTTTCAGAGCCAACCCTGTCATCTGCAACGTTCGCAAATTGCACGACAGTGGAGGAGAAGACACGCTATATCTTAGTTAGCTTGCAAAACATCACGTTCCGAAGCGGTCACCCTTGACAGTGCCATAAGCTGCTGACTGGCGGTGCAAGCCGCTGGTGGTCATGGGTTCGAATCCTGATGGATCCGATGGATATGCACTACTGATTATGCACAACAGGCTGAAACTGCAGTCCAGTGTTTTTCGTGGGCATGTAAACGACTATGTGTTTTGGAGTTGATCACGACGAACCCACAATTATTTATATCGAAATCACTTATACATGACTACATCAAAATATATCCGTCCTGACAGTTGCTGAATGCTATATCGTACATCGCTGTTGTCAGTGGAGGTCGAGTCATTCGAGGCCAAACCTCTCCTCTGCAACGTTCGTAACTTGCATGACAGTGGAGAATAAGAAGTGCTATATCGCAGCATACTTGCAAGTCATCGCGGTCGAAGCTGTCTTCCGTGGACCGGTGACATAAGCTGCTGACTGGCGGTGCAAGCCGCCGGCGGTCATAAGTTCGAACACTGGTGGGTCCGACGGATGCGCACAACTGATGTTGTCCAACATGCTGAAACTGCAGTCCAGTGCTTTGAGGGGCATGTGGACGACTATCTGATTTGGAAACGGGCTGCGAAGAACCACAAATAATGATTTTATTGTTGACAAATATTTCAAAGAACGTAGTGAGAGGACGAAAACTGACTGATATTAACATTTGGTATGGATAATACGAAATGTTAACATCTGCCGGTTTTCATATTTTCACTGCGTTATTTAAAATGCTAAAAGGGACCAACTGTTTCAAACAAACATTTTGATGCATGCAGCAACTTTTCACCTAGGATTCTAAACGATCACTTTCACATTCTACATACTATCCTAGCAAGCACTAGACCTATTTCTTTAACATGGGCGAAATTTAATTTTCTATATTCTCATACCTCATCGCATCGAAACTCCACTCAGCTTTATCTATCACGTTCACCAATCGATCCATTCAGAATGAAACACAGCTTCCGCGATTGTATGCTTGATTAAAGATGTACACTTTCTTGTTTTAATGCTGTCCATTTTTACTCCCTCATAGATATAAATGCTTTGTTCCGCATTGTTAGTGAAAATGTGCCCATATGGATGGATAAAGTGTATTTTGATCTGAAGTGCATGCGCTAGGGTTCTGTGCCTCAACGGTGCCTACCCATTAAATGAGGCAGAGAACAGGTTAAAGAAGGGAAGGGAAAAGTACATAGAGAAGTGCCATCGTTGTCAAAGGAAACCGCTTCTACTCTCATCAAATCACCGGTGTCGATATTATGGTTTATGTGCACATGCGATGTACCGTAACAGATGGAGCGCAGTGAAATTTGTGCACACATGCATTGCGGAATTATTTTCGTACGGTTACATGTGATATGACAGGTCTGTTTGCGATCGATGCGACGGTTTACAAACTGCTAACACGTCCGTAGTCACTACCAGAACTAGCAATACGAGGCAATTGTTGCGGAAAATGTGATGAAGCCGTGGTGATGGTGCTAGGTGCAAGGAGAGATCTTATCGAAGAACGTCAAATGCATCTGTTTACCAGGCTTGATCAGTGGACCGAGGCACAGTGCATCTAAGTGTCGTGACACAATTCATCAATAATAATATTAGTGATTATAATAGTAGCTAAAGAGAAATGAGTAAGCGTCAAAAGCCGTCAGACGGTATGGTCAGGATTCCGATGGCAGCAAGAATCAGTGACATGTCGTCTTAGTACCATAATTGTACCTTGAAGGTGCAAACGATTTACCGAAGTGTGCATCGCTACACGTCAGCCTATACAGAAATGATTACATCCGACCCAAGGAGAACTATGCCAATCGCATACTTCGGCTCTGAAATGCGTCCAAGAAAACATCGACCACATCAGTTGTGTGCATAGAGAAGAACAAAGTGTGTGGCAATATTTTAGATCCTCGAGTTTACGTTGATTATCGTGTGTCAGCGAAAGCACCTTCTCATGAATGGAGCAGCGAACCACACGTCGGCCAAAACGCAACCTTTTCGAGCAGAACGACAAGACGTTATCTTGGGGACTATAAGAGTATGTGTGTGGTGGATTGAGCTGTGGGTGGCGCAACACGGGTCATCTGCGATCTCCCATCTCAACGAGCAGATGCTGTTGATGCTAGCCATCTCAATAACAGGCAAATCGGATGAACGATGCCGGTAAAACCAACAACAAGTATCTGCAGTGTTGACTAGACAACCAGTGGTAAAAGCCGTAATGGAAGCTATTCCTGAAAGCGGTACTATGAAGAAAAACTACCAGCTAAACCTCCTGGAGCTCACAGTGAGCCTTGTTCCAGCGTTCCTTTTCCTAGTTGGCTTACGGACAAACATGGTGCTGTTCACCTTAGAAATGAGACCTTGGATGTAAGTGATAGATGAGTAGGGAGAAAATATGGAACACTCGGACGTTGGAGATGATTAAGCATGAGCGAAGGAGAAGTCTATA